GGCTAACCGGTGAGGCACAGGTCTCTCTTACCAAAAAATACAAGAAAACTAGCCGGTGCGGAAAAAAAAAAACTACCGGGTGAGAGCGGGCGCCTGTAGTCCCAGCTACTCGGGAGGCTGAGGGCAGGAGAGAATGGCGCGTGAACCGGGAGGCGAGCTTGCAGTGAGCTGCGCTCGGCCACTGCCTAGGCCTGGGGAGCAGAGCGAGACTCGTCTCAAAAAAAAAAAAAGGAAAAGGAGACAAAGGGCAATGACCGCTCTCTCGACCGCTGGCGTGGCTGGTATGCCTACGAGAATTCTATGAGGACTGCCGGAGCAGTTCTCTCCTCGCCCTCCGCGCCAGTGCTAGAGTCTGTCTATAAAAAAAAAAAAAAAAAATCAAAAACCTACCAGGTAACCGCAACTCTTGGCTCGCCAACTATCAACCTTCCATTTCCTTATATATATCGTTATTCCTGCCAACATAAGCGCTCACTTGAGTAAGCTGAGTTGATAATTGATTAAAATGCCATTGGATAATACATAACAGTACCCCAAGCAGTTTCCTGTTCCAGTTCGCCCCTGAGACCTCTAGGTTTTTGGCCCGGGCTGGACATATGTATTCATTGGTTATTAATTTGTTTTATAAAGAGAATGGTTACCAAACATATAATTTTCAAAGCTTTAGTATTCACCGCTCCTGTTCGAACAGCCCATGATCGTGAATCGACCTTGTATTCTTTTATTTCCTAGAAGATTCTCAGATGATCCCGCCTAGAGGTATCATCATTACATCTCTGTCACCCAACCTGGATAGCGTATACAGACTGTCGGTCACTCACAAATCATGAGCTCACTGCAAGCCTCAGACCCTCCTGGGAGCTAGCTGGGGACAAAAGCGGGATATGTACCATGCTGGGGCGTGTATTTTTTATTTTTAGCTAGCAGCAATGCGGGTCTTTGCTATGGTGCCCAGCGCCTGGTCTACACTCACATAAGTAATCAAGCAAAAAGTACTGCATCTGTCTTGGAACCTCCCAACTAAGTGCTGGGAAAAACACTTACAGGGCTATGAGCTCAGCAAAAAATGTGCCCCACACACATGTAAATAAACTTACATATAATATTCAAGAAGGGGGGGAGGAAGAATTAAAAATTAAAAAAGTGGCTTTATTAAGCCAATATGAAAACATACCTCCAACTTACAACTTCTAAATTATAATATGTAGACAAACACAAAAAAAAAAAATATAAGAATAATGGGGTTATAAACTTAAAAAAACTGAAGAATCACCAGTCCAAAAAAATGGTGACTGCAAAGTAATAATTGATATCAAAAACGAATGGAACAAATAAAAAAAACCAACATAATTATAGTAGGTGGTCATAAAAAATAATAATAAATCCCAGGCCAAAGGTGACAGGTGGACTCAAATCTGTAATTCAACCATTAAAGGAAAAAGGCAGAGGCCAGACGCGCCGCAACTCGCGCTGAACCACGCGCGTTCTAGACAGAGCACTGGAAAAAAGGTAAGCAATAGTCTGGAAAGTGCTGCAAGTGCTTTATTATGTTTAAAAAATCTAACCAATTAAAAAATATTGTAACAGAATAACTATATCAATTTCTTAAAAATGTGGAAAGGTACTAGCATGCTGTGTACTGAGCACTGCGCACCAGGGAAAGAATATTCACCTATTTTTTCTTGTACTTTTTTTAGTTTATTTTATTATTGATTCTTGAGACCCGGAATGCACTGTTCTTCGCTTCGTGTCCCAGATGTACGCTAGCGAAGCATAGCGAGAGTGAGAGGCAACTGTAGAGCTACCAAGACTCTACATAGAACTCTAACTCATTGCCATTCTCGAACGTACTAGGATGCCTGGCCTCCGAGAGATAGGCGCATCTCACCACAGTCAATAAGGTATCTCGCTCCTGCTTCGCAGCCTGTCCCAATCCGCAAAGTGTAAGGTCGTGATGTTGGCTACCCCCGGCGCCGACCCCAACCATCACACAACGAAGGAATTACGATTTTTATTTGTATTTTTTTTAATGAGATCAGAGACAGGGGTTCCACCCCTGTGCTCTCTGACCGAAGAGATAACAGGTCTTCGAATCTCTACATGGCGCTACTCGAATATAAGAAAAATACCACCACCGCTCATCGAGGAGCCTCCTTCACAAACAACATACTCCAAGAGTGACTGTGGCATTACCAGGCTTGAAGCACCGCGCCTGCCGGCCCCTATTTCCTATATTTATTCCCTCTTTTTGGACGGTTTTTTTGAGACAGAGTCTTGCTCTGTCGCCCAGGCTGGAGTGCAGTGGCCTGATCTCGGCTCACTGCAAGCTCTGCCTCCTAGGTTCACGCCATTCTCCTGCCTCAGCCTGCCAAGTAGCTGGGACTACAGGTGCCTGCCACTGTACCCGGCTAATTTTTTGTATTTTTTTAGTAGAGACGGGGTTTCATCGGTGTTAGCCAGGATGGTCTCGATCTCCTGACCTCGTGATCCGTCCGCCTCAGCCTCCCAAAGTGCTGGGATTACACTGAGCCACTGAGCCCAGCCTTCTGCTTTTTTTGAGACAGAGTTTCACTCTGTCGCCCAGGCTGGAGTGCCGTAGTGCCATCTCGGCTCACTGCAACCTCTGCCTCCCAGGTTCAAGCGATTCTCCTGCCTCAGCCTCCTGAGTACCTGGGACTACAGGTGCCCACCACGTGCAGCTAATTTTCGTATTTTTAGTAGAGACTAAGTTTCACTATGTTGGCCAGGCTGGTCTCGGAACTCCTGGCCTCAAGTGATCTGCCGCCTAAGCCTCCCAAAGTGCTGGGATTACAGGTGTGAGTCCTTAAGCCCGGCCATTATTATTCCTTTTTTACAGATGAGAAAATCAAGTCTTGGTGACATAAAACCAGGGGCCCAAGGCCACCAGGGAACCAGCCCTGTACCACTTTAGCATCCATGTTCTGAATCACAGTATAGTGAGGTTCCCAAGAAATTCCGTGTTTGCATCTTTGGGGTGCGCTTCCAGGCACTTGAAGTTCCGGCTCACTGTCTGTGCCGTAGTGGACAAGTTTGAGAAGCCCCCAGGGGGTCTGTAACCCTGTGGCGGTAGGAAGTTTCTGAATCCACCTCCCTGTTTGCCAGGCCCAGCTCTGATCCTGGGATGCTATCTCAGTCCTCTGATGTCCCCTTTCCACAGGGCAGCACAGACTATTTCTTGAGCAGTGGTGACAAGATTCGATTCTTCTTTGAGAAAGGCGTTTTTGACAAGAAAGGTTTGGAGCTGGGGCCCTAGAGCTGGGCAGGAGCCGTGGTGAGGGTAGGCTGGACTCGGGGATCTGCTCCCAGGGATGGAAGAGTGCTGAGGCCAGCTGCCCATGGAAGGCTAGACACCAGTTCTCTGCCTTTATCTGTTCTTTGTGCCACAGGAAATTTCCTGGTCCCTCCGGAGAAATCCGTCAACAAAATTGGCCACGGTGAGCAGGGGCTTGGGGGTGCAGGAAAGAAGATGGGGGAACTGGCTGGGAGTGGTGGCTCACACTTGTAATCCTAACACATACTTTGAGAAGTTAAGGCGGGTCGATCACTTGAGGTCAGGCGTTCAAGACCAGCCTGGCCAACATAGAAAAAATTAGGTGACTGTAGTGGCGCACACCTGTAGTCCCAGCTACTCAGGAGGCTGAGGCAGGAGAATCGCTTCAACCGGGGAGGCGGATGTTGCAGTGAGCCAAGATCGTGCCATTGCACTCCAGCTTCACTGGGTGACAGAGACAGTGAGACCCTGTTCAAAAAAAAGAATGGGGAAACTGAAGCCTGAAGAATTTAGGAGCCTTAATGAAAGCCCATAGTGGCTGGGCGTGGTGGCTCACGCCTGTAATCCCAGCACTTTGGGAGGCCAAGGTGGGCGGATAACCTGAGGTCGGGAGTTCAAAACCAGCCTGACCAACATGGAGAAACCCCATCTCTACTAAAAATACAAAATTAGCCGAACATGGTGGCACATGCCTCTAATCCCAGCTACTCGGGAGGCTGAGGCGGGAAAATAGCTTGAACCCAGGAGGTGGAGGTTGCAGTGAGCCGATATCGCACCATTGCACTCTAGCCTGGGCAACAAGAGTAAAACTCTGTCTCAAAAAAAAAAAAAGAAAAAAAAATAATAAAGCCCTAGTAATTAGTGGTCGGGTGAATGGCATTTGTGGCTGCAGGCTCCCTCTGGTCTTTCGGCCCCTCTGCTATCATGACACTGCTGCCACAGCACTGGGGATAGGGGGTACCTGATTCCCCCAACAGATGGCATGTGCAGGCTCTTCCACTCTCTACTGCCTGGGCCTGGGGAGCTCCTGGGTCCAGTGCTCCCTGGAGCCACCCTAAGGGGCATCTGACCTGGCTACAGGGTCCCTATTCTGACATCCCAAAGTCAGTAACGTAAAACCCTCATTTTCTTTCTTTAGGATCATACATTACAATTTGTGTTGTAGAATGCTTATTTATTTTGTAAAATAAAATTGAGATGAGGTCTCGTTATGTTGCCTAGGCTAGTCGAGGCTCAAGTGGTCCTCCTGCCTTGGCCTCCCAAAATGCTGGGATTATAGGCATAAGCTACTGTACTTGGCCTGGAAAGCTTATTGTTAAACCTGAAGTTATATCATGGTAGGCTTGTAGACAAGTTGTGGTAAAATACATGTAAGATTTACCATACCATGATAACCCCTTTAAAATACGTAACTCGGTCGGGCACAGTGGCTGACGTCTGTAATCCCAGCACTTTGGGAGTCCAAGGCAGGGGGATCGCAAGGTCAGGAGTTTGAGACCAGCCTGGCCAATATAGTGAAACCCCATCTCTACTAAAAATACAATAATTAGCTGGGAATGGTGGCACACGCCTGTAGTCCCAGCTGCTTAGAAGGCAGAGGCAGGAGAATTGCTTGAATCCAGGAGGTGAGGGTTGCCGTGAGCTGAGATTGTACCACTGCACTCCAACCTGGGTGACAGAGCGAGACTCCATCTCAAAAAAAAAAAAAAAAAAAAAAGTACGTAGCTCAGTGGCATTAAATGCATTCAATCTTATGTTTATGACAATGAGGGACTATCCCATGCCAGGCCCTGGGCTGTCCCTGCCCATTCATTAGCCCATTGAGTCCCACAGCAGCCCTGCCTCCCAGGTGCTTCTAATCCTCATTTGACAGAAGAGGAAACTGAGGCTCGCAGGAGAGAAATGGTTACCCGAGGTCACACAGAGCAAATGGTGGCACCGAGATTGCTGCACGTGATTGGCGCCAAGGAGCCCTTAGTCATCTGTGAGGGGTTGGACTGAGCTTCCCAGATGGCCAGAAGGTCAAGAATAAGGGCATGGGTGGCATAGGGCCTGGGTGGGGGAAAGGCTTCCGTGGAGCCCATTACTCGGTTGTAAACAGGCAGAAGAGTTAATGCATACAAAATAGGTGAGAATGTCAAAGTGAGCCTGAGTGTGGGTGCCCAGAGCTGGGTGTGGAGGGACACGTGGGCCTGAGATGGCGCTGACAGCCTCCTTCTGTCCCGCAGCTCTGCACGCCCACGACCCTGTCTTCAAGAGCATCACGCACTCCCCCAAGGTGCAGGTGAGCAGAGGTAGGGGTGAGGGCCAGGAGGCTGGGCCATGTGTGGCAGGCTGGCAGCATGACCTTTGCCCCCCTCCAGACCTTGGCCAGAAGTCTGGGCCTCCAGATGCCCGTGGTGGTGCAGAGCATGTACATCTTTAAGGTGAGCTCCTTGTCCTGGCCTCAGTTTACCCTCTGTAAAATGGGCAGACTGCTCATACCAAGCCCTTCTGTACAATGGGCCAAAAGTTGCTGGAATTATTATGTTGGTGGGAGAACATGGAAAATCGGTCTCCTCTGGCTAAAGCACCTGGAACTTAGTTGATGCTGTTAAAATTTGGTGGTAGGGGCTGGGCGTGGTGGCTCATGCTTGTAATCCCAGCACTTTGGGAGGCTGAAGCGGGCAGATCACTTGAAGTCAGGAGTTCGAGATTAGCCTGGCCAACATGGAGAAACCCCATCTCTACTAAAAATACAAAAATTAGCCAGGCATGGTGTCACACACCTGTAGTCCCAGCTACTCGGGAGGCCGAGGCAGGGGAATTGCTTGAACCCAGGAGGTGGAGGTTATAGTGAGTGGAGATCACGCCAATGCACTCCAGCCTGGGTGACAGAGCAAGGCTCCATCTCAAAAAAAAAGAAAAAAAAATTTGGCCGGGCGTGGTGGCTCACGCCTGTAATCCCAGCTCTCAGGGAGGCAGAGGTGGGAGGATAGCTTGAGCCCAGGAGTTCAAGATCTGCCTGGGCAATATAGCGAGACCCAGTTCTCCACAAAAAGGAAGGAAAAAAAAAAGACAAAAAAAAAATTTGGTGGTAGGAGGGAGGGTCATCCCCAGGCCTCCCTCGACCTCCCTCCTCCCTTCTTTGGCAATTGAAATGCTGTGCTCCCAGCTTTCAAGGCTCAGCTCAGTGCCACCACCTTTAAGAAGCCTTCCAGAACACCTGAGAAAAGAAGGACCCGTCTGACTCTAGGGCTGGAAGGCTCAACTGCTGGCCTGCGTCCTAGCCTCTCCCTCCAGTCCTTGCCCCGCTCTGCTTTGTGATCTTGTTAGGCATGTGTGTGCTTGCACATGCTAGGAGCTCGTTGGGCAGGGGGGATTTTCTCTTTGCATCCCTCCTGGGGCTGGCACACGGTAGCTGCTCAGTAGCTGGGTGTTGAGGTGGAATCCTGAGAGGAAAATGCCTGTGGCCAGGGCAGCAGCATCCTGTGAGACAGTCTCAGAGCAAGCCCAGCTCCTCTCTGCTCTCCTCTGTCCTCACCAGGCTTTTCCTCTCTCTTGCAGCAACCTCACTTTGGCGGTGAAGGTGAGCTGAGAGCTGTGGGCCCCTGAAAAGGCCATGGGTGGGATATCTAAGACCGCGGTGGTTCTCAGATCTTTAGAAGGAGGGAAAGCCTTGCTCCTGTCTGCTGTAGGAGGCTGGGCTGGAGAGGAGGAGCCGCCTCCATTCCTTCCCTCTGAAAGCAGATTGGCGAGGGCAACCCTTGTGTCTTTGCATAGTGGGTCCTGAACCTGCCACCACCCCAGCTAGTTACAAAATACAGATTTCCGCCGGGCGTCTAGTGGCCTCAAGCCTGTATATCCGCAGCACTTGGAGCCACCGAGACGGGCGGATCACCAAGGTCAGGAGATTGAGACCATCTTGGCTAACCCGGTGAAACCCCGTCTCTACTAAAAAAAATACAAAAAACTAGCCGGGCGAGGTGGCGGGCGCCTGTAATTCCAGCTACTCGGGGAGGCTGGAGGAGGAGAATGCCCCGGCCGTTCCCGCCGAACCCGGGAGGCGGAGCATGCAGTGAGCTGAGATCCGGCCACTGACTCCAGCCTGGGTGGACAGAGCGGACCTGTCTCAAAGAAAAAAAAAAAAAAAAAAATACAGATTCCCTAGGTCCAGGCGTGGTAGCTCATGCCTGTAATCCCAGCACTTCTTGGGAGCAGAGTGGGTAAGGATCACCTGAGGTCAGGATTCCGACGACCTGAGCCTGGCCAACAAATGTTGAAACCCCATCTCGTACTATAAATAGCAACAAGTTAGGTGGGTATAGTAGTCGCACACCCTGCAAGTCATAGCTACACTCAGGCGAGGCAGGCAAGGAGAATCAACTTCAACCTCGACGAGGCCAGAGGTTGGCAGTGAGCCGAGAATCACACTCACGTGACAGCGCCTGGCACATCCAGCCTGGACACCAGAGTAACACTCCTGTCTCAAAAACATGACAAACAAAAACAGCCCAAACCAAAAAATAAACAAACAAAAACAAGCAGATTCCTCGGCTCGTCGCTGAATTTGAGCCAGTAGTGGGGAAAGCAGGCGCTGGGCATGGCCTGTGGAATTCAATTTTTTTTTTTTTTTTTTTTTTGAAGATGGAGTCCTTGGGCTCCTGTCACCGGCTGGAGTGGCAGTGGCCCGGATTCCCCTCCAGCTCAGCTGCAAGCTCGCGCCTCTGCCGGGGTTTCACAGCCATCTCTCATGTGACTGCCTCAGCGCCTGCTCCGAGTAGTGCTGGGACCACCTACACGGCCCTCGACCCGGCCCTGCACGGCTGTCACCTTCACCGGCTAGTTATTTTGTATTGATTTTTAGTAAGAGACGGGGTTTGTGTCAGCCATGTTATGCTCCAGTCCGATGGTCTTAAGATGCTCCTTGAGCTTTCTACGGGTTGATCCATCCACCCGCCTCGCGCTCATCTCCCACTTTAATTCCCAAAGAGTGGGAAGTGGGCTGGGAAATATGACAGGCTTGAGGACCAGCAACGCATCCCGGCCATTTTTTTTTTTTTTTTTTTGAAAGGACACGACTTTTGCATTCTGCCCCTCAGGGTCCAGCCCAAGCCTAGAATGGTAATGGGCTACTATGCGTTCTTCGGCTCCACTACACTAGCTCTCCTCCCGTCCCTCTCGCCGGTTGCAAAGTGATTCTGCTCAGCTCGTGCTTCATACTGCCTCTCAGCCTCTCAACGTGTAGCTGGGATTAGCAGGTGTTCGGCACACACCACGCCCAGCTAAATTTTTTGTAATTTTTAGTAAAGGACAGGTGTTCGCTACCATCTGTGGTTGGTCCAGCGCTGGTCTCGAACTCCTGACCTGCAGGTATCGCCGACGCGCTGGCCTCAAAGCCTCCCAAAGTGCTAGGATTAAGCATGGGATGAAGCCAGCAGATGCCACGACGCCAGACGCTGGAATCTTGTGTTTTCTACAAGTTTCGCTGGAGGAGTGACCTACCACCTGAAAATGTTGGCTTGATCTAAGATTCCACGCCTTCTATCGCCCCGCAGAACGTACCTTACCCCATGCAAGATTCACCCGTCTTTTACAGCCTCCCCGCCTGGTAGGCGTGATTACCACCAGTTCTGTTTCAAATAGCCTCTGGTTGACAGGGAGTTCACC